TTTTTTTTTTTTTGGAAACTGCCATCTGTGTGTTTTCGATAGTTCCTAGCATTGACATCAGAGCGGCACGCAGTGTGCCTCCACCTGAGATCCTGAGGGTTCCTAAGACCCGTGGAGTAGTGACGAGAAGGTACGGCCGCGCTATGTGGTACGTTCCAGCGTGCGTTCCGGCCTTGAAAATATCATGCCAAGAGAGATGAGCCCTGATAAGGCATTGAAGCACTGGAAGCCTTGTTGAAGAATGCAAACAACCAGCTGGCGGAATCAAGGAGACAAGGCACCGGTGTTGAGTTGTTCCTGGCTTGCTTGAAGTGGCTGGAATCATTGATTTGGCCTACGCGTGAGGCAGCAAATGTGGCACAGCACCTTGGAACAGTGCAGACTTCTTGCTCGGGTTGGTTTATCTGAGGCATGCCCCAACTCAGTTGAGACATGCGAGCCGCTACCCAAGGCAAGAGAGCAAGATCTTCAGCAGCAGATTGACGTGCTACTGGAGGCCGCCGTGGGCCAGCGTTCTCGGCGTCAACATTGTCATACCCGTCCGCATATCAAACCATGCATTGCAACGCAGTAGCTGCTGGACTATGCCATGGTGTTGGTCCGTGAGTCTCTTTTATGTCTTTTGTTCTGTGTGTAGGGTCTGCTGTTGATGGGCATTCACGTGGGAGAGCACTAGACAATCGCAACAGAGACAGTTTCGGGAGTTTGTCAATGAGCATGACAGCAGTCCTGGGAGACCAGTGAAGACTCAAAGCACGGTGTGAGGGCGGGCAAGAGAAGACATGTACAGCTTGATTAGAGGCAAGGCATATCCTCTCCTGATTGTTGAGGAATCTAGATGCATGTTGCCACAAGCCCTGCTGGGACGTTTGTGGCTACAAGCAGTTGAAGTGGGTAATGGGGGGTTCTGATTATAAACCCCCCCCCAAACAAGTACTGATCTGAATAATCCGGGGGGGCCCCAATCAAGTTCGGGAAAACTTGTTTGGGGGGGATCCCAGAGCAACCCGTAAACCCTAAGCCCTCAGGCCTAAGGCTTGGGATACATTTGCAACTAAAATATTACTGAATCCCTTCCCCCTCATATGAAAACCAACCCTAATACATGGACTTCTAGTTAAATTTCAATTGATCTGACATGGATTTTGATTTGATGCCGATTGCTTTTAAGCGGAATTTACATTACATGTCAATCGATTTCTAAGGGAGTTTAATTTGATTTCAATCGATTTCAAAAGGAATTTAGATTAGATTTAAAACGGTTTCAAAGGGAGTTTAATTCGATTTCAATTGGCTTTTAGTAGAATTCTAGTTAAACTGCAATTGTTTTGAAATGGGTTTTATTTCGATGCCAATTGATTTTAGAAGGAATTCAAATGAGATTTCATTCGATTTGAAACGGATTTCAATTCGATTTCAATTTGCTTTTTGATAGAATTGTATTTAAATTTCAATTGATCTCACATGGATGTTAATTCTACGCCAAGTGCTGTTGACTGCCAGAGCCCTTATTATTCCGTACCCTTTTTAACATTTAACATTCTTTTCCGGCGGTCTCGGTATAGTACCCCTTAGCAGAGATGATTGCCTGGGCTGTTCGAATAAGCGGTCTCATGAGAAATCGATAGTTTCTGGCGTGCTCAAAACCTGAGAATCGGAATCGAATTGGTTTCTGGCCAAAAGGCTGTAAGTAGGTTTGAGATCCATAGGCCTTAAGGCTTAGCATATGATTGTCTGCAGCTTAGATATTATTCTTCTTTCGCAGATACTTAATTAGGGGGTCGGTTGCTTATTCTCTGTTTGGGCATTTTCAGAAGCGGGCATGCACTATTCCGCTCCTATGTTGTTATTAATCCGTTCAGACCGGATTTAGCTCTAATACGACCCCACTAAAATTGTTCCGTTCAGGCCTGAAACGACCCCCTTTTGTAATCCGGCCTCTACATTGGCACAAACCTTGTTAGGCCTTCACCTTAGCTTGGAAGCGATCCTCGCCTGCGCAGGAGAAGCTCCAGAACCGAAGGGACATGAGCGAAGTGCGGCTGGAACTGCTGGGCCTGAAGAAGAAGCATGCAATGCAGGCCCCTTCGTTGCAATTCCAAGCTGGGCTCAATAGAGCCATCTTTCGTCCAGCGCCCATCGCCGAAATATCCAGCAAGTCCTGTGACGTAGACGTCCGGAGAGCACTGACCTAGTGGTCTCCAGATCACGGCAACAACTATCTGCGTGTCCTGCCCCTGAGCGAGGCTTCTTAGGCAGCGTAAGTAGTCATGAGGTTGGGTGTCTTTCCGGCTTCTTCATGTCGTTTTTAATGTGAGGGCAAAGCAGCTGCAAATCATCCAGGGCACGTGCGAGGAGTCTGGAAAAGGGTTCTCGTGTGCGTTGATCAGCCTGTAGAGGGCGTAGAATTATGGAATCAGAAACCTGATGCGTGCTGTCGGGCTTGAAAGCGTCAGACACTGCCAGGGTCGTAAAAGCTGCGTGCCCGCGCCTTTTCAATCGACTATCGGACGGCTGTGCCTTCAAAATGCTAGCAGATTTTTCACTTAGCACAACTTGGCGTCAATACCTGCTGGGCATTCGAAACTCGTCGCTGAGAACGAGCTTGTCGTCACATGACCTGTCGTCACAGTTTGAATTCCAGTCATCCAGAGTCATACGTGGGTTTGGCTTCACGAAATGTGGTTCACTATGTTCGTCTGTCAACCGTTTGACACCCTATAGGGCCTGGCTTTGGCCCACGTAGCCGCTAGCAACTGCTTCCATTCAAGTGCCTTGTTTTGCTGGTCTGCCTGGGCACCATGGCGCCATAACTCACCCTGCACCTTTGAAAGCTGAAGCTGACATGGCACAAACGGGCTGGGATGGCTTACCAATGCAGGTGATAGACCGCCCGGAGCCCGCACCTTCGCCGGTGACGCGTCGCAGTGGAGGAAGCCTGACTTCAAGTTTCAACGACAGGTGCCAGGAAGGAAGTTCTTCGACTATATAGAGGTTGGAAGTGATCCATATTCGCAAGGTCCGGATGCGGCAATGATGTATCTCTGCCTTAGATGCACTTCGAAGTTTGACAGGAAGAGGACGTGGCAGAGGGCGTGGGCGAACATGGGGCAAAGGCACTCTGGACATCATAGATGAAGAGGACGAAGCTCCTTTTGCTGATGACTTCTTGCCGGCCAGGGTTGCAGAGCTGCACTTGCAGTTGCCTCCCACGGACTTCCAGAAATGTGCTGAATGGGTTGAGAATTAGTTGGCAGCAAAGAATTGCCACCCTGCACTGCTATGAACTAAGTAAGCAGATTTGGCCCGGAGTGCCGCTTGACGGCTGCGCAGGAGGATGGCTATGAGGAGCTGCCACAACTGGAAACTTGCTAGCACTTTGGGATGTATAGGTTTCACATGTCGCCAATCAACAAGAATGGTCGTATATGTTTCGATAAGGAAGACGACTCTTGGGCGAGCGACTGTGTGAGCAGCGACGCCGGAGACTTCGATCAGCTCACAAACCCAGACAACACAGCCCAGTGCCCACGCTGCAATTCAATGGCATTCAAATTCACAGGAGCTGATGGCTCTTTCATATGTGCTGATTTTGCTGCAGTGCACGGACCATGTTTGTCCTCAATGTCACTATTGCTAGTGGTGCGGCACCCTCCTCACAAATGCACTTCTTGGAACCAAGTAGCCGTGCAGATCAAGGTTAACCAAATCTTTGCTGTTGTTTTGATTCGCTCGAAAGGTTTGCTGTCAGCGAGCCCAAAGCTTCATGAGCATGCATGAGATTTTTCAAGATCTTGGACTGGCTGGCCAAGCTATACAAGTCATGTCCTGCCGCGCCGACTTAGGAACGACTTGTTGAGCAAGCTGCTGCTGGAGCTGTCAGATGAGCGCAAGTCAACACAGAACTTGCGCGAGGACCATGCCAGCCAGAGTGCAGAGCAAACTGAGCAGAGCTCCAGCTTGCAATTTAACTTCTGAATGGGTCATGTTTGAAATACACCAACGGTCTGATGTGATCGACAGCGCGTGGTGGAATTTGTGCTGATTTGGTTTGCGCATTCGGGTTCACTGCAGCATCACTGCCATGCCGCATCTTCTTCCACGAGACTGAGCCTCAAAAGCCAAGGATAGCGGCCTTGCAAAAGCAGCTGGCGGAGTCTGGACTCGAGCACGAAAAGGCTGCTGCAGAGAATGCCCGCCTGAGAGAGCAGCTCGGACCAGGCACATGCGGTGGAAAGCTCGTTTACCTTAAGATATACACTAAATGCAGGAGGCCCCAGTCACCAAAACGCCTCAAGGGCCCAAGCTGCGTGAACGCAACAGTGTGGCACAATTGCGGCTCACCAACGCATGTGTCCCGCCGGCCTGCGCAAAAACTCAACTGCAGGCATTCTGAGGAGAAACAACAGTTCTTAGGGGCAAGTTTCAACAAGTACTGGAGTCCCGGCAAAAGGCGATGCCATGCCAAAGTCGCTTGCGCATGTGCACACGTAAGAAAAGCCAAGGTCAGGAAGTCGAGCTTTGTTTTTTTGTCTGAAGGTGTGTCTGAAGTTTTGCAATTTATTTTTTAACATTGGCACGTTGAGCATTGTCGCGTATCATCATCTCAGACTTGCTTCCCATGCCTACTTTCTAGATTTGCCAGCGCTGACGAGCAAAGGAGGGGGAACCAGGACAAGATCAAGCAGCTGCGAATAGTGGATGATTTGAACCTGAAAGTCCGCGGCTTGCTCAAAAACATCCCTACATGTGGGGGGCTTCCGGTTTATTTGGGGGTCGCGAGAATAAGGATTATAGTATTCAGGGTCCAAATTAGGCCCCCCTTATTTTGGGAGACTACTACATCTTGCATCCCCACTGTATCCTGCCCAACGCCACAAACTTGCCGTGGCCAACATCTGAACCATTCTGAACCTTAAGCCTAATTTCCCCAAACCTCACCCAGAACCTCCTTTGGGGTTACAGTCGATTACCCAAAAAACATATCATGCCAGGTTTAGGGTTTAGGGTAACCCAAAACAGCAACTACATAGGAGCCCTTGGATATAGTCCCCCTTAAGTAGATAGAATACGGCTTTGGATATATTATAATAAGATCCCCATATATCCCATATTCTATCCCTAAACCCTAAATCCTAATAGCCATCCAAGTGGTGCAAGATAGCCTGTCTGCAGGGCTGACAGGCGGTAGATTTGGAAGTCAGCTTGGTGTCTTGGCCTGTACGCTGCAGTTCTTGACAGAGGAGTACCAGTGTCCAGGTCGGGGACATGGACTTGGAAGGTCCGAGGCCGACCATGAAGTTGCCTTGGTTCAGGACCATGGGAGGCCCCGATCGCGGTCCAGATCTAGGGAACGCCAGATGAGAGGACAACAATGGAGGCGGAGAGATAGGGGTTTGGGGGATGAAGGAAGGGAGAGACCATCAGCGAGTGCGGGACCTAGCGGTTGTCGCGAGCCTCCTTGGACTTCCCGTACGTGCAGCTGGGTAACGGTCCCAAAGTTGTCTGAGAGTACAAGAGGAAGAGGAAAAGGGAGAACCCATTGCGAAGGCCTGTTCGGCAGGAGCTGCTGCGAGCATGGGGGTCTAGGCCTGACAGGACCAGTCGTCCAGGTATCCCGCGGCAGGATGAACAAGACCCTGATGTCCACAAATGGAGAATGATTTTGGGGTTCGCGCGTCCTCCGCCTGCAACCACCGAACTCCTTAGTGTGTCGGAGGAAGTCAGAGATTCATCCTACTCAGTTATTCCGAGATGGACCTTTGGGACCGGCACGCGTTCACCCTTGCCTTCTTTCGCTTTGTTGCCATCTTCACGGCCGAGGCGGGGAGGCTCATCGGACAAGGTCCAAATGCAATGGCCTTGCTGCAAATGACCGGGCCTGTCCCTCACCCGGTTGGCCCCTTTAACATTTGGAGGGGACGGCCCTCGACTTCGGCAACGGGACCTCGACCAAATGCGAGGCCTTCACCGAGACCCATGGCGGAGACTGCAGATGAAGATGCGGACCCCGTGTGCGTGGAGGAGCTTGACTCGGAGTATGTGGAGGTTCTCGTCGATCCGGCCGGTGTAGAGGACCATTCGCCTGCTGATGCCACAGCTGATCTTTCACCGTGGTCTTGGATGAGACTGCCGCGCCCCTTGGAGAACGTGGAGCAACCTGAAGATGTTGAGGAAGCAGTACTGATGCAGACCGCCCAAGGCAAGCACGGGGATGAAAGGCTTGGCCGTATGCTCTATGTTCTTCAGAAGATCCTGGATCAATCCTGTGATGTGGCCAAGGAGAGAGCAAGAGCGCCCATGGTCGTCGTCATGGAAGGGAGGTGGACATGCTGCCACGCCTTCACGGGGGCAAGGGATACTCGCTTTAGGACCCTTCAGGCTCTGTTGGCTGCATACGGAGCGTCGAGTGTTGATGCGGCTGGATAGGTCGCGGCTGCGGCATCGTCTACGGCTTCATCCTCCTGCCTCCCCATGATCTCTGAAGATGTGAGGATGTGGGCGTTGGACGGGCACCAGAAGTTCAAAGGGTTCTTGGAGCTCCGACACTGGGGCGAGGATGACAGCTCTGACCTTTGACCCAGCACTTGACTCGCAGACATCCGTTGAACTCTTAGGGGAGCTCACGGTCACGCAAGATGGGTTCACCAGGTTGGCCACTCCTGAGAAGGCAAAGCAGCTCAAGGACAAGGAGGAGTTGGACGGTCAAGACGCCCTTGAGCTCCAAAGGGAAGACGAGGAAAGATATCAGCCTCATGAGGCCAGCAACCTGAGAAGGCAAAGCAGCTCAAAGACAAGGAGGAGTTGGACGGTCAAGACGCCCTTGAGCTCCAAAGGGAAGACGAGGAAAGATATCAGCCTCATGAGGCCAGCAAAGCCCAGGAATGGGCACCCTTGGAAGACGAGGAATTCGTTGTGGTGGCCGACTGTGCGCCGGAGATCATCATAGCCTATTTGGCCTTGTTCCTGGACGGAGCGGCAACTGTAGAGATGATCCAGAATAGATTCGGTGCTCAATTTTTGCTGTGGTTCGAGAACCGAAAGGCTGCGAAAGTTCGTGAGGGTGTCAACCTGTTGGGATGGACACGGCATTGATGGAGAGGAGGCATCTCAGCTGGGCGGCTCTGAGCAGCATGTGGAGGATGTCAACGGATGGGCCAGTCGTAGATTTGCTTTGACGGTGGCTATGTGGATGCTGTGGTGGCTTGTACGTGGCTTGGCGTTCTGAATGGCGACATGGTGATCTGTGTCCTGTCCTGCCTTTGAGCGGGTTGAATGGGCAGCTGTGAGTTGAGTGCGTTTCGTAAGGAATGCATTGAGTTTGTGGCATGCTTCCCTCATCCTCTACTGCTGGCAGTTCTGGGAAGGTGATGGCCTGTGTGTGTGAGAAGTTTTCCTGCGCGAACTGCGCTTTTCGTGTGACCCAGTGGGCAGACGGAAAAAGGGGGCGCAAAAAAAAAACCTAAACAGTAGTGTCCGCTTTCTTTGCCATTATCCAAATATGACCCTTATAACCCCTATATCTACTTAAGGGCGAGTATAAAGCCAGGGCAGCCGCTTGCGTGCTCCGTTGTTCTGCCAGGGGCTTGTCGTCTGGCAGTCCAAAGCTCTGGCTATTCCTACCCTCGTACTGGGGTTAGTAGGGGAAGAATGGAATATAGATTGGGTTTAGGGGTGGGGTGTGCAGGATTATATGTGCATATATACATACACGTATATGTATATATATATATATACATATTTGGGGTTTAGGGTTCAGGGTTAATATTGGAATAAGAAATTTATTCCCTGGTTCCCTACTAGCAACCAGTAAGTACCAAGGAGATCTAGAGGACACAATGCACCTCCAAGTGACGCAGATGAAGGACAGGGCCTTTCAAGTTCCCCCGAGTTTCTGTCGCCATCTCAGGCTTGTCCGTCCCAACATACTTGCTCAAGAGTGTGGAAGGCAACCCATTCCCAGGAACTCCAGTTATAAATAGCTTGTGTCTGTCAGGAGCAGACAAACAAAGAACAGCAGGAGCAATTTGAGAAGAACGTGTTGCAGGAAAAGATCCAAATGCAGACAGAAGTTGGCAGCCCAGGAACTCGCAGGGTCAATTTGTGAGTCCCTGCGCTCTTTAGACGCTCTGCAGGGTACCGTGGATGTGTTGCGGTGGACACTTCGTCACTCCATTTGGATCCATTTGGTACATTTGCAATACTGAAGAGGTTCATGACTCAAATCGCTATTATTGAGACTTGGTGTTGAAAGCTCTTGGGCATGGACTGCGCAATAGCTTGTGCCTGCGCTGTGGCTGACCCCAATCTCCCAGAGTTGCCAATGGCATGCCAGGCTTGGCTTTCAGCAGGTTTGGAAATGCATAGCTGTCGTAGGGACTGCAGTATACATCCATGAGAAGTCAGATGAGCTGCCTGCAGCTAAGTCACTCCGCATTGCTAGCCTCTTGGTTGCAACCGGAGACCTGGTCTGCAACGAATGGCGTGCTTGCGACCACGCACTCACAGGTAAGAAGCAAGCAAGGTTTGGTACTAGGGCTTTATTTGTGTGGTTCTCACAGTGACCTGGCCAGTACATCAGTGCTGCATTGTCGGCACAAGTGGTGGCACAGCATACATGCAAGGACGGATCTAAGCGCAAGTCCCGCCTGGACATGCTTCCAAGAGAATCCGCGCAGTGGGCCTATTATTGTCATTTCTGTCAACATTGCTGCGGCCGCTGCCGCTGCTCTGCTGCTGTGCTGCTGTGCTGCTGCTACGACGACGACGGCCACCAGTAGTACGACTACGACTACTACACCGATGACTGCCATGATTTCACTGTTTCCTGAGGTTTGCGCTTGCAAGATGCACTTCAGCAGCATCAAAGCGAAGCGATGCGCGCGAAACTTATCGGCTTGCAATGTTGTGTTGTCTCAAACCGCCCCCCTCACCCCCAGAAAGGGGTTATATAGGGTTATGCGAGGGTAGTAGGGGAGTTGAACAGGAAATGCGTTTTTGTGCTAATACGTAACAACTATCACCCCCACCCACAAATGAGGAGCATTTTCCCGAATATATTTGGGCATCTTGCTTTTGCCGGTAAACAAGTGGGTGCGCGGGCTTTCATTACATTGCAATGAATATCACCAATCTATACATGCAGAATAATATGCCGGACTGGCAGGAAGCGCAGTTTCTGAGGTCAACTGCAACAAGTGAACTCCTTGAAGCTGGCTCTTGCAATGGAGCGCAAGCGAAATGCTCGGAGCAGCAACTTGGCTGAGCTATGCCGTGTTTTTTGGTTTTTGCTTTGCTGCTTGATATTATATATGTTTGATGTGCTCCAGGGTCCTGCCATGGACAATTGACATTCTAGGGGGTGGATTGAACGGCCCGCTTGCTCTTCGCCACATTTACTGGTTGAACCGCTGCAAGTTATTTTCCTGAGGGGCTCGAAGCTTTGCCTAACTTTTGCCAATTGTGCGCATTGGGTCTGTCAACCCGTTGCCTTCGAGATGCAGCATGTGACCTCCCAAGGCACCTCAACAACGGAGGCAGGGCCGACACGCGTTGACGACTGCAGAACCCACGCGAGCGCACACAAATGTTGACCTTAGCCTTAGCCTTGGAGGCCGGCGAGGATCTTGGTCCTGAAGATGTGCGGCCAGAGGACGGATCGGACATGAAACTGACCATCGATTTTTTTTGAAGGGCCGCCATGCATTTCTTTCGGGTACCACGTCGAATCCCATTCTGCATCCTAACGCGACCTGCAAGGAATCTCCGTTAGTTGACACTCTAGGTGTTGTTTCCGCACACGAGATCGCAGCGAAAGTTTGCCAAGATCGAACATTGAAAGCAGAAGCATGCATACCACGTCGCATGCAGGTGGGCGGGTCAGGTCCCAACATTGCTGTGGCCATTTGCTGTGAGCGCTGTTTGTAGAAGTTGCTCGCACGTTGCAGGATGTGCTCGTTCAGCGGGTAAAGGAGCTCGAGGCCCGAGCGGGGCAGCCTCATTCATGTTTCGCAGATGTTCACCGTTAAAAGAGACGGCAATTTGGGCGCAGCGATTGCTGCTGCCATTTCAGCAGCGGTCTGCGCGTCTCGTACTTGTGGCATACTTATTGGTTCTCGTGTCCCTTCAGTCATTGGCTTGCGGGCCTGACGCAGGCTCAGTCTGTGTGGTAGTCTTGGAACCCTTAGGCATTTCCATGGGCATCAGACACTGATGGGTTGCAATGCCACGCGGCCAAAGCGGGGTGAGCACGCGGCAAATACTCACACCCATGCATTGCGTCACTCTTGCACGCACATACATACGATTGGTGCGATGTGCTCGGCATTCAGAAAATTCCACGCACCGGGGCTGAGTAAGGCTGGTTGCCTGTTCGCAGGAAGAGCGAAATCTTTTGCTCAGCAAGATAGAGGTCAAGGACTGCTGGGTGCATTATGTCATGCAAAGGGGCTTTCAGCAACTGATCTTGCTTATTATTAGCATTGCTCGTGTTATGTCTATAGTTGTTCTATTACTATTGTTACTACTAGTATCACTGTTTTTTGTTTTCGAGGATGTGCAGCACCAGGTGCAGTTGGAAGCCGCTTTGTCTTGCAGCTTTGGGTCCAAGAAAATCAAATAAATCCTTAGTTGGGGTCAGCAGGGAATAAGAGAATATGAATAGATAGATAAACAAATAGATATCGGTTACATTCCTTTATTCCCTAGGAATCACCTGTAAGAAACTTAAGGAAAGCAATCCGGCCATGGTTCAAGGAACATTTGCGAAGCACAATTTCCGCATGCCACCGCGACTGCAGAAAAACACACATCCAGAAACCACGAGGTTCACCGCATACGGGCTGTGGGTCTAGGAAGAGAGTTTGGGTGCAGGGTTTCAGCTTGCCCGTCTGGGCGTCCGAACCTGCCCTCGAATCTGACAGATCTAGGGATTGCGAATCTGCAGATTCGCAAGCAAGGCGTCTTTGAACCCGCTGGTTTTTGTGCATCCATTCTATCCGTGAGATTGAGTAAACTAAGCGTTGGTTGAGAATTGTCAAACTCCTGCTGCATGCATAGACAGACTAAGGACACCTATCGCGATCACGTCCAAGCCTCAGATCTTAGGAGAAACCAACATCTCATTGTGGACGGGCAATGCTTCAGAGCATCAGGGCGTTCCAGCATTTGATTAGATTCGCTGGGCCCCAGGCAGTTCTGCAATTGCTGCATTCAGATTGCATACCCACTGCCTGAGGCCCAGAGACTTCGCGAGCAACAGATGAGGTTTGAAGAGCAGCAGGAGCCTCACATGGTGGATCATGGTGGTGAGGGCATATTCAGAGGCGAGCATACTTCCCTTGTTGGGCTGGTCAAGGCAGCCTTGCGGCCAAGGATTGCAGAGATTCGTGCTCGATATGAGCAGCTGCTGAAAATGTATCCAATGGTTCAAGGCCAGGACCAGGCCTGACACTTTCGGAGCGCCACCGATTCTTTTGCAATTCAAATGGCAAAGTCATGAAAGTTGCCAGGCCAGCAGCACACTGCAACAAGAGGGAAGATCAAGCGAGGGCCTCCGAGTGCCTGGTTGGCAAGCATCACGCATGGCCTTGGGGCAACGGTGGTCAGCTGCAATTTGAACATCCCGTTAGAAGCCTCATCACAGATCCATTGCTATCATCATATGTGGAGCAATGTCGGCAAAGAATGCCAGATGTGCAGCAAACTCGATGCGATGCTTTGAATGCATGATACTCATTCCTGCTTCGAAATTAGAGGCCGGCTCGTTCAACATATTTCACGCGATGTTTACCCCAAGTAGTTTCTGATGCCTTGCTGCTTGAATTTTCCTGCAGGGCATGTTGTTTGAAAGTGTTATGCTGTGAAATCCGCCACGACTCGTTTGCAAAGAAACTATCAGCTGCATGATCGGGGAACGTGTTGCTTGCCAATTTTCGTGGCCTTCCTGATTCCCTTAAATCCAACGCGCTGCTTCTATCACGTGAATAGGTCCTTCCGGGCTGAGATTTGGTCTAGATTTTCCAGGGATGTCAAAGCCTGCCTGGACTGAACAGCCAGAATTTTGCGAGTCACTTAATTACTGGTTTTTAGTAGGAGATCTGGGAATATCATCCCTATATAAGCTTTTTATACATCGTACTTGCAGGTTCATGGGACTTAATAACCACTTACAACTGGGCTTATAACCTTACTTATAACCCCCCTAAATGGCTTTATAGGGGTTACCCCAATTATAAGTAAGGTTACTAGCCCAGTTATAAATAGTTACTATGTCCCATGACCCTCCAGGTATATCCCCCTGTTCCCTACTAAGAACCAGTACAGTAAGGTCAGTCTGCTGGGTATACGACTGACGGCGAGTTGTTGCAAGCCTGCCAGGTGTTTGAAGACTCCCGCTCCACCAGCACTACTGGCACCTCAACAGGCATGCTATGGCCATGGTACGGACCATGACATTTTGCAAGGAAAGGTGTCTAAATGTTAAAGGACTCAAAAAAGCGGCTGCCTGCTGCAGGCATGCGTAGCGAGATGCTTCCACAAATTCAAAGTGACCGTGTCAGCTCCAGCATCGAGGCTGAGGCACGATTTTCCATGGAGGTGAACCGAGCATGTGGCCTTCGGGTTGTGGATGCTGCATGAGACCAGTCTAGACTATGCGCAAATGTAGTCGTAAGGATGGAAAGCTAAGCAAAAGCGCAACAATCAAGGCCTCACAAACCTGAACTGAGCCTGAAGGGGGCGAAGCCTCTCGAAGAATATCAACAGTTCCCAGGACCAACGCACACTTGAAAGGCACCTGGCTCTTCAGTGGCTGATTTGGAAACACAAGCTGCTCACAGGGTCTTAACTTCTTGATTGTGGGCGGCAGGATTTGGCAGGGAGAAGATGGGCGAAGCAGTTCAAAACGATGTCGCCTCTAAAAGTGCTTGAGCCCTCGCTGGCCAGTAGAATCTGCGGAAACCTCCCAGTTGTTTCGGTATATGCCAGGCCAGCGACACACAGCGGCATGGTGGCATTGGCGGCGGCAGCGTTTGCAGTACTCCCGTGGCGCGCAGCGCCTGAGCGTGCAAACGGAAGTGCCAAACCTCATTGAATCTTGAGGACAGGAGGTGAACAGCCCTGATCACAGTGCCCCTGTACAGGCCGGCCTTGCGCAAGGTTTCTACAAGTTCATGGCCACATGGGTTTAGAAATATGTCTACATGCAATTAGAATTCAGAAGCACGAGACACTTCTGAATTCTGCATCTCACGGCCGGAACCTCATCAGCTGCTTTCAGAGGTGTGGTGAGCACAGGCCTGGGCTGCCCAGCTGCTGGATATGTACTGGGGTAATATCGGGATGGTGGAAAAGAAAATGGAAATTACTGTGGAGACACTGATTGCGGCTGCCGCTGTTTTCGAGTCTTTTGAAGGCTTCTCTGGATGAATGGTTCCATATTTGCTAATAAATGGGCAACATTTGTCAAATCATGATACTAGAGATGTGCTTTTGAGACTGCTTCTGCCTGTCCACAAGTATGCTCTTCATATGTTTTTTTTCAAGCTGGACTGTGTCAGCAGGTGGAACGGGCTCTGGAGTTGAGAGCTCCACTGCCGAGAATACCAGGATACGCAGCGGCTCTGCGACAAGAAGCCAAGGTTCTAGTAATAATCTCACATCTGAGCACGCCAGCTGCAGCATAGTGGGTTACCAAGAGCCAGATTGTTGGAGCTTTGCCTGAAGCGTCACTAGTGCAGTTAGGAAGCATGCTGACTCTGAGGCGAGTTTGCTTTTGTCGTACTCCCAATTGAGGCATGATCTGGTCAATTCTGGAGCTGATTCCGAATGCAGCCGTGATGCTCTGCACCTTCGAAAACTTGGTATCTCGCAATGCAAGCCCTTCTGATTTCACCTGTGATGCCTGCTGGAACCTGGCAGTGGCGTATCTAAGCGACTCTTGCGCACGATGTGAAGCTGAAGAGTATGCACCGAAGTAGATGGGACTCCTCATCCCATCCCTGTTGCTTGTGCAAGCATCCGCTGGTCTTGTTCAAGGTCATCGAGAGGGTCACTGCACGTGCAGGCGCCATCTTCAGTGGAACTTTGACAGCATCGACTCCCATGACAGCGTTTGATAAACCATGCCTGCTTTCCCGTAAGACCGAGACTGAGTGATCCCAAGCACAGAACTCATCCTGTAGGATAGTTCGGTACCCATTAGGGTAGTATTGGGGTAATATTGGGGTTATATGGGGGATAATGGAAAAGAAAATGGAAATTACTATAATGGGTTATATGGGTGGTTGTCAAGATCATGGTCTCTTTTTGAATCCCTATTATATGTAGACCGTTGGCTTGCTACGCCCAAAGTGCAAGGTTTCTTGCTATGACCCAAGTTTGAACAAGACTCACACCTGATTTGTTTCCAAGAGCATGCAGTCGGCATAAGGCTTTTCGAGGAGCGAAGTACTAATACCAACTTAGTTCTTAGATGTCCTTGTACTATTCTCATTGTTGGTACCCCTTTGAGCTTCTGGTGATGCAAGTACATTGCCCGACGAAATTCTCAGACAGGTTGCAAAACATGGGTTCAGTGGCGACCACCAGTGCTTGAGTGTTGGTGGCCGTGGTAGGGATGGATGCCATTCGGGATATGCTTGCGCCACACCCCTCCCAGATAGCCCGCAAGCCAATTTACGCCATGTTTGTTTGACTGAGGACTGGATCTGCTCCGCAGCTGCAAGAAGAAAAGACGTCACTGTAGTGACTGTAGTGACTGTAGTGGCAGTAGCAGGAGGGACTCTGGCCTGCGCAACCCCACCCGTGCGCCCATGCTGACATGCTGAGGATCGGCATGTCCTTCTTCAACTTGCTCCGTGAGCGGAGTAACGCTGCGATCCTGAGACGAATGATGCTGGCCGCCCGTTTGCATACCCCTTTCACAATGTATGGCAGTACGGCACGCAACGCAGACTTAAGTTTTTTTTTTCAGCAATTTCCCGCGAAAGCGTGATGACTGTCACAGATGTGCAAACGATGGGAAGGACCAGGCAGACCTCAATTTGCAACAGTCATCCCGTCCTCAGGTGAACCAGTCAATGGCAGACAGCAGCCAAGCTGAAATCTCAGCCTTTGCTGCGAAAACCCTTGGCCGTTACTTGGCGGCACAGCACTGCAACTTTGCAATCTGCAAGCCTGGCAGCACTGCAGAATCTGACAACTTGGAGCCAATCCCTTTCCAAGGATTCGAGGTGCTTGCGATGGCTGGAAAAGCCGTGGATTCGGCAACTAAGCCACGCTTGGGGTCTTTTCAGGGATCGTTTCTGCGGCCCGTTTACCTAGAATCCTAGAATGTGCTGGAAGATATCGGGTATGTGCTGAGAGCCTGCTGAGCAAGGAGACGTTGTCATCTAGAGAGTACATGCCTCGATGTTAGTTAGATGTTGCGCGCCGTGGGAGTGACTCAAGCGTGTGCAAGTAGATTCCAACAAGTAGCATGCTTGCCCGCAATCATTGCTCCCGGCTTGTGGGCACGGATATTGGCGTGTTCTGCCATGCCCCAGCAAAGTATCTCTGCCTCCGATGAGATGTTGAATGCTTTGCAAGTTTGCGAGGTGATCTCCATGGCTCACCTACCTGCTGACTCGAGTCATGGTGCTGCAGGCAAGCGCTTTTTATTGTGGGTGCTGCCTGACCATCTCTGCCACCGCAGACATTCTGCGTGCAGGACAGGATGAGCGTCGTGTCATCCTCGTGTTAGCAGAGCAAACAAAGACGCAGCCATTGCGCGGTGAGTTTTCCGCGCCACGGCCCATCATAGAACATTTTCAGTTCACTAACAGTGTCATGTGGCGGATGGATGCATATGGATCCGTTTCGCGTGCGCCATCTTTGCGCGATTTTGCGCGGCTAGCAGCTAGCTAACAATGTCTCTTCAGTTCATCCGATCTTTCGATGATAAGGTTGCCAGCAGCGACATCTGCCCAAGTGCATCTTGGCAAAGAGACCGTTGTTCTTTTTCCCCACCCTCGCAGTGGGGTTGTTAGATGATAAAGTAAATGTTGTCTTCGCCCGACTGGAAGCTGACTGTAGTGACCAACCACAAAGTATCCCTGCAGTGCCCAACCACCAAGTATCCCTGCAGTGCCCAACCGCAGAGCATCCCTGCAGTGCCGAACCGCAGAGTATCCCTGCAGTGCCCAACTACAGAGTACCCCTGCAGTGTCCAGCCACCAAATATCCGGCACTGCAGAGTTTCAATATTGTTGCAGCGCATTTGCAGTTCTGCAAGGGAGACAGTTGAGGGAAACGTTACACTTCTTGTGCAATAACGGCTTTAGGGTGGGGATGCTCGAAGTAAATAATTCTTTTTGTGACCTCCTGATGCGGCTCAGCTTGTCTTGGCCAAGGACAGCGTGAGTGTGGGCCGTCGCCGGCCCCAGTTCGTGAGCAGCGAGGTGCAGAGAACACAGCTCAGAGCAGCTTGATCTGCAAGGAGAACACTTGGAGGACGTGGTGCCAGTAATTTAGAACCTTGTTGACTGCTGTGGCAGAGGAACAAGCTGTTTCAGGTCTGTGTGTTTGCATCCGCAGCTGGTTAAGTTGGTGGCTCTGCCTGACAGCGAAGGCGTCCTTCTTCTCATCGATGAAGTCGAGGTTCGCATGCCTGAATCCTGCCAGTTCTGCATATTATGACATGGTGATCGCAGCAAACGAGATGAAATGTCGCTGCCTGTGCTGGTGTGGCCTCAGGAGGCGTTTTTGGCCTGATTTCCCCATTCCCAGACCACAAGCGATGCAAGCCAATTGTGATTGAAGGGAGTCCAGAGAGTAAGTAGGCGCTGGAGGACTTGCATCATAGGCAGCAGTATGGGAATCAATGATCTCGTTTGCTCCGCTTGGTCATGAAGATTGCCTGCTACTCGTGAAATGCATTGGACAGCTTGCCTTGCCTTCCAACAGGCTTAGCAGCTGCCAACAAAGGCTATGAAATCATGGTGAATCCAGTGTATTGGGGGTAATATTGGGGTTATATAGGGGTTATATAGCGATAATGGAAAAGAAAATGGAAACTACTATAGTATATTGGGGTTATCGTATATTGGGGTTATATAGGGATAATGGAAAAGAAAATGGAAACTACTATAATATAATAGGTTAAACTACTATAGTATATTCAGCAGGCTCTCATCCGCCTCCTCCGTGCCATCGTCTCCGCGGAATTCGTTAGTCCCTGAATGAGGAGACCGGAGGCCTGGCAGTAAACATACGTGGAACTACCACATTGGGTTTGGACAGGGATAATGGAAAAGAAGACGGAAACTACTAGAATGGGTTATATAGGGATTATGGGGTACATTATACCGGGTTGATAAAGGAAAAAACTGACCTGACGCTTAACTGAGCATGGAGCAGCTTCGAGGGATCGCTGTATTTTTATTTTTGGTCCGACTGGTGTTTGTCACAAAGATGCAAACCATGCCGCCTCGAGTTACCATCTGGAACCTATAGGGGTCTTCCATATATACAGCCTGTGGACCTGCGCGTGTGGACGTCATAGACTTATGGACCCTCGTGCACAAGCTGTCTACCGTGAGGGACGCCAGGCACAGTTCCATTTCTCGCCAAGCTCGTCAGGCTCTCGCCGGCCCTCCTAGTTTCGAAGGCCGATGTGAGGGTTGCCCCGCATCGGCATGTTTCATGTTATGTCAGCCTCAAGCTAAAACAGTTTTCCAGTACTGTTAGTTGAGACAATAGCCCCAGCCGGTTTTGATGTACAGCCTGGTGCGCCAAAAGCTGCGCGGGGAGTCGGTCTGGGGCTCGGCCTGATCGTCATGTCAATCCCCTCTCACAGAAGCCTACGAGTTGTGCTGTACAAGTAAAGGGAGATCAAGGGAGTCATCAGGCAAGCAGGCTCTTGACACCTGCTGGCTTGCGGCGATGCTAAAGCCAAGCCTGAGTTTGACAGCGGTTTCACATTGTGACGGCTCTTACCCCCTGCAAAGTTTCCAAATATCTTCAAGCAGAAGGCCCCTGTGGCTTGTGGTTTGCATCTAGCTGGACCTTGACGCCCACACTTCCCCACCCATTCGTTACAAAATGATGCCGCCTCATTTAAAGTTGAAATGGTCCAAGCGATGCAAACAGTTGGAAATTGCGCTTTCCGAGTCTGAGAAAGACTCTGCACTTGGTCAAGTCGCGACCGCGTTTCAGAAAATGTCATGTGGGTGAAGTTTGGGTAAGCTGTTACCCGCAACTGTGCTCCAAGAAGAACCTTTCAGATCTCATTTGCTGCGTCCCTACCCCCGGCTGTTGTATCTAAGTCCTGTCACCTATAGTGGTTAGCTAAGACACAAGACCTGCAATCATGCGGTGGGGCGGGCCAAGGTGTGAAGGGGAGGAAACAGCCTAAGCATGGCTAAACTGAAATGAGTGGAACGCTGGGAACAAAGCAGTGCAACCACGGAGGGGAGCGCAAAAAACACCAACTCACCAAGCAGTTACAGTCTGCCTCCTTTTGCCTCATTCTGCAACTCCGCCGTGTCGGGAGAATTGTAGGTGCTAAGTCTAGGGACTACCTCAGCGCTAGACTCTGCTGGACTGCTTGACAACTTTGAAGCTGCAAGTGAGCTGTCAACTCAGTGGCCTTCAATCCGTTTTTCCCTTCCAAGATTGTCTCAGCTCATCGCATCCCAATGTGTGGGCAGGGCGGCGTCAAATTGACTTAGATGGAGCCTGCCTGGTTCAAGAGACCAAGGTGTTGTCAGTGAACCAGGGTAGCATCGTGCCTTCTGCTTTCAACACATGCAACATGTCCAAGTCAAGGCGGCCACCTAGCTAGCAATTGAAAACTAAGCCATAGGCAGCAGCATGTGGCCGGCTGCTCTGTGCACAACACAGCCCTGAGAGAGTTTGCCACGCGTTTGCTCCGATGGAGTCGATCACGTTACCGCCCGACTGCAGCTGCCCGATCACGCAGGAAAGCACAAAGCAATCTTGGGTACTAGTGGGGCACCACCGATTGTATCTCAGGACTTGATGGCGGACCCCGTTGTGGCTGCCGATGGCAAAAGCTACGAGAGACGAGCCATTGAGCAGTGGCTCCAAAGCCTCGCTGCCTAAACCTTGCAGGGAGTTCACTGCGTACCCGCAAGAAGCATAACTCTATCTTACAAATCGCTGTTTTGCATCAGAAGCGGCCCATTCATCAGACAGACTACTCCCCCTGCAGCCCTCTTCCACACATGAGATAAGTGCAGCTGTCTGATGCGGCTTTTTTCTGCATTTTGTTTTGTAGATGCCACAAGCGCCGAGGGTTAGCACCGTTCTGAAGGACAAACATTGCGCGACACCTGTTGCCAGGTCACTCCACCAGCCCCCTCACGAACTTGCCGTTGGAAAATGCACCTCTGCAAATTGGGCAAGTTATGATGACCTCACCTCCCAATGCTGGTCTGCGCTTATAAACCATAATTCCAAATTGACTTAATTCATCTTATTCAGGTTCTGAAATTCCGTACAGTAGCCAGTGAGAAGCATGCAGACCGGCATGGAGCAACCTCAGGACGCCCTCATCCCCAACACTGCCTTGAAGAGTGTGATCCAGGAAGGGACCAACTCACCTGTCCTCTGCATGTTATTGAGTAAGCTGTGGGGATGACGGGGGATTACAACAAGCATGCTGGAGGAGTTTGTCAGCAAGCTCCCAGAGGCACAGCGCCGTGAGCAGGACGACATCCAGAACTTAACTCGAGCAGGGCATGCTCGGTAAGGGGACATGGGCAGGGATTTTCATTCTGGGCACGTGCTTGGTCAGGCACAGTATAGCCAGCATACATTAAGCAGGTGGCAGCCGCGAGCCGGTGCGGCTGGGTTTTGCGCAGTGAAAACATCAAAACACATTTCACTCACGTGAGCTTATATTGATGCGGATTACCGGGTTGTGCATCGCAAGCGCAAACGAACGCAACCCCGCCATGTCAGCACATGTTGTAGGAGCAAGGGAGAGGGGCAGACGGGCAAGTTGCTCTCCTCCGCACACGTCCTGGGAACGTCCTGTTGCCTTCAGGAGATGCGATGGCAGCGCCAAGACGAGATGCCATGGAGCCGTCTCTCAGATCGCAAGCAGAGTCCAAGCAGCCTACACTCCGGGCTCTGTTCTTTGCAGGTGTGCCTTTATGCTGCAATTGCCCGTATCTGGAGGGCCAACAACCGCCGTCTTGACAAGCTATGCCATGGCAATGGCGGCATATCGTTATGAAGCGTCATTGCAACCCTTACATCATGAGCAGAAAGCAGTCTGGTTGACTCCACGAGGTGGGCTTCCTCGCGAACAACCTGCTTCACAGCCGAGGGCACCATGGGACATTCGCTTGTCTGACAGGGAGATGGAGGCAGGAATGTTTCAGCTTGGCACACCACCGAGTGGACTTTGCTGCCGCCGCGTGTTGCGTGCTGCTTGTGCAGATTTGGTGGCCATTACAAGTATCTGCTTCCAAGCATGTCTTCATGTCTATACTTGGTTTCCTCTGCTTATGAGGAAGGCGGCCCCGCCCTTCTCCTGCTGACGATGAGCCGCCGCCTAGTTGCGTTGCATGCCGCCTTGCGAGAAGCATCGCAAGCGTGACATGCGTGACATTTTTCCTCCGGACGATTTGCGCAGTGTAAAACAAGCAGGTTCTCTTGGCGATCAGGTTGCATTTGCATACCATGCATCATCTATTCAATTTGGAGTGCACATTTTTCTTACTTGTTTATATGATTTGTTCTTCCCGTTGTTTTTTAGCCCTGGCCTTGGGTTTGCAAATCGGGGGCTGCGCCCCCCCGCAAACCCCCGCTGTTTCAATGTGCGCCCCTGCTGCCAGACCCATATGCATCCTTTTAAGAACTGGTTTAGGAGGGGCCTCTCCCCCCAACCCTCCCGTCTTTTAAAGTCGTGCAACCTGCAGGAATTGCTGCAAGACTGCTATTTCTTTTATTGGAACATATTCGAACTGTATGATTACTTTCTGCATTTTTTGGTATTTTTCGCGCGTCTTAATCTTAGCAGAATTACTATATTAGTCGTCATTCTAAGCGCAACGTTGAATTGCCATTTTACTTATTGATACTGTTATGATTTATCATTGCCCATCTTTCACTGTGCTTCGTATGCTTACTGTTGTTGTTGTTACTGTGTTTATTTGTATTCTTAGTATTTCTATTATCATGACAACTGATACAATTTATTATCACTGCTGTTGCTATTGGCACTATTTCTGCCCTTTTTTTTTTTTTTTTTT